ACAAGTTGCTGTCCTTTTGTTCTTCAGTCTAGTTGTGGAGGACGTCGCTTCACTGGCCCATGTTGGTATTATCATTGCGCTCTTCCGGAATGAGGCAGATCAGTCGCCGGCCCCTGGACAGCCGCTCACAGAGGTTCTTGGCAGCTCACGCTGGCTGCCAGCTACACACGGTCGCTTATGGCAGCCCACCGCAGCAGGGGCTGTAGCCTACGTCGTCGCCAGCGACTCATGGCAGCCCAGCTCCAGGTCGAGCTGCTGCTCACCATCTTAGCTGTAGAGGGCAGTGTCATTGGCCCTCATGTGGGATCCGAACGGGGGCCCTGCTGCTCAGAGCTGGCGTCCCAAGCCAGCTCTTAACCAACGTGCCACTCGGCCGGCCCCCCTGGGACTAATTCTTAAGTCCTTTCTTTCTCATTTCCTACGTTCAAGCCACTGGCAAGGCATGAAGACTGTACCTTCCAAGTGCATCCTTATCTGCCTATTTCTCATCGCCACCATCACAGGCATACCTTGGAGATATTGTGGGTTCAGTTCCAGACCACCACCAAAAAGTATTACTATAAAGCAAGTTGTAATCTTTTTGCTGGTGGAGGGACTTGCCTTCAATTTGTAAAAAACGCAACATGTGTGAAGCACAATAAAGCAAAGTACAATAAAATGAAGTGTGCCTATACTCTAACCCTAGCCCAAGGCACCTGATCACTCTCACCCATGACTGCAATAGCCTGTTCTCCCTGCTTCCACTATTGGCCCTCTATACCTTCTTCACTACAAAACAGCCAGAGTGATTTCTTCAAAACAGAAAGACCAGGGCCGGCTGAGTGGCTCAGTTGGTTAAGAGTTGACTTAAGAGCGCGAGCTCCGAGCAACAGGGCCGGTGGTTCGATTCCCACATGGGCCAGTGATGCTGTGCCCAAGCTGAGCTGCCGCTGAGCTGCCAACAGGTGGCAGAATGGCTCAGCTGGTGTAACAACAAGATTGCCTGTTCGATGATGGGCTATGCCCACCCGCAACTATGACTAAACTGGGAAACTTGAGCTGAGCTGCCACTCGGATGACTCAATGGATAGGGCGTGCACTCTTAACAAGGCTGCTGGTTCAACTCCTGCATGGGATGGTGGCTATGCCCACCCACAACTAAGATTGAACACAGCACCTTGAGTTTAGAGGCCACGAGCTGCTGACAGGAAGCCAGATGGCGACTGGCGCCCTCCACAACGAAGACTGAAGAACAACAACTTGGCTGGTCCCCTTCCCCAATTACCCAACACTGTTCCCCCTCCCCCAATTCCCCAATAAAATCTTTAAAAACAAAAACAGAGAGACCAGACCCTACATAATGGTCCTTGCTAAACTCCCCATTCTCCTGCTGCTTTCCTTCTCCTCCTCACTCCTCTTGTCACTCCACACCTGTGCCACACTTTTGCATTTGCTATTTGCTCTGCTGGACTATGTGTCCAGCAGAGCAAACAGCAACACACCCTTTTATGTGGTTTAATCCCTGATCATTAAGATCTCTGCACAAATGTTTCCTCACTGGGTTTTCCTGACCACCATATGCCCAAGATTAACTTCCTTCATGTTTCTTCTCACCTGAAATATATATTCACTTAACTGTGTACTGTCTTCTCACCGAAGTATAATCTCAACAATGAGATTAAGCCGCAGGGAGATGAATAGATAAATTTAGATGTCTCTTCCACGTGGTGACCTCATGTGGACATCCTACAAGCAGGTAATTACATGCCCATGATTAAGCACTCAAGTCTGATCACATGGCTCAAATCTCAGTTCTGCCACTTATTAGCGGTGTGACATCAGCAAATTTAACTAATCCTAAACCTGTTTCTCCACCTCTGAAAACAGGGGCTACACCTCATTAGGAGTGAAACAATCATATAAAACCCTAAAGCCAGGGCCTGGTACCTACTTATTATTATTACTGTTATTTAAACTAATATTGATTTCATATTCATCTGGCACACACTAGGATGGCCATATTAATTGTCTATGACCAGGGCCCATGCTGACTGGTCTGTGCCTATATTGTCATAGTTATAAAATATTCTTAACATCAGTAGTGTGTTTCCTCTCTTCTACTAAAGTTCTTCAAATTCAGGCCTGTTTCAAATATACCTTTTAATTCCTCTTCCTCCCACTCCACCCCACCCCCATAGTTCCTGGCACTGTGGTTTGCAGTGGTAGGAATGTCATAAATATTTCTTAACAAAAGTCTTGCAAAAGCAACCACTCCCTAGGTACTATATCCATACTTGCTTGAATCTAAGTATCACCTGGGGGCACTTATAGCCTACACCTACTGAATCTGAACTTGGCAGCAGGGTGGGAATTTATCTGGGAATCTCTATTTCTAATAAATATCCACTCCATCCTTTTGTCAAACAAGTTGGGGAAACACAGCCCAAGATGTTGCTTTCTCTTTGTTCTACCACGTGTCACAAATCACCCAGTTCTGAAAAACTTCCCCACAATATGAGACTTGCATCTATGTCTCATAAATGCTGCTTCACTTAAAACTGAAGAAAATGTTATCTTTTTGTTTTCTGCATATATCAATATAGTTTCTTTTTATCTTGATATGTACTACCTTTGAAAATTAAGAGTTCTCATTCTACACAAATTCTCATCCCTCCCAACCACTGCACCTAAATCCAGTCTTACCTGCCTACATTGGTACTAAAGTATGACTTTGTTCCCCTTATTTTAATGACAGTGAATACATTCTCCTCATCATAATTTTTTAAAAATATTTTAGGAGTGTCATGTTTTAGTCTTTCCAACTCATTACACAACTTAGAAGAATTCATGGCTGACTAGAGCAGCACACCTGGTAATGACACGGAAACCAGAAACCCACCTGTCCAAATCCTAACAGTTACCACCGCATTGCAGAGTCCCCTCCTGAAAGAGCTACACGATCTCTGAATAGTTAATAGTTGGAGAGTTAAGCTTTCATGACAAAGCCAATGACAGTTTTTGTTCCCTCTCAGTCCAAATCCAGTGTCCTTTTATTTCCCAAAATTACAATGATAGGTCACCTCAGGTCACAGTGTAAGCTTTGCTCAACGCTAATAAAAGGAACCCGGCTGGAAACACAAAAGTACTGTGAGTCTCTCAAACATTCCCTCTTTGAAATGACACCAAGCAGCTGACTCTGAGTCACACCTACCAAAGTTTTAATCCATTTTCCGAGAGTCTAAATGCTACCAAACTATTTGGAATAATAGTAAACGCCCACATGGTGGGCAGCCTGAGTGGAAAGTCCTTGCATGAGAGAGGGAGAAAGACGTACTCCGGTCCGGGTTCTGGCTCTGCTAGTAACTGGCTGGGTGAAAATGAGCAAGTACCTCCCTCTCTCAGGGTCTCAATTTGGCCAACTCCAAAAAGAGCTCGATTTAGATGACCCCTCAGGTTTCTTCCAGCTCTAAGAACCTACGAGTTGGGAGTCACCAGGGTAACCAAGACCCAAATTCCAGAATACACTATTTTGAGATCACCGAACCCAATCCCCTCGCTCAAAGAACAATCCAAAGTGAAAGCCGCCTGACTCCCAGTCCAATGCTCTTCACAAATCACACCGCCCTTCCAGGAACACGAATCCCTAGAAGAGGAGTCCAGTCCTGCCTCGACTCCAGAGGCGGGCACGCAACTTATTCCATCTTTTCGTTTCTTTTTCTTGTCCCTTGTGCACTTCCACTTAGTTGGAAAAGGCAAAACGAAAAGCGCTTAGCCCAGATCCTAACCAAACCCAGGCCTCCCTACGTGACTGCAGTCGCACCTGCTCCCAAGCTCGAGGTGAAGGTGGGTGGCTCCGTCTCCACCTGAGCTCTCCTCAGGGCCCACGAAAGAGAAACGATTCCTTTCTCCCGACCTCGCTTTGGCCTAGGCCGCCCCCCACTCCGAGGCAGTCTCCCCAGGCACCATACCTGTTCCGCCAAGGCGCGACCCCGTGCAGCAGCCTCAGGTACCGATGCCCCACGGACGCCGCCATCTTGTCTCCTCCTTCTCGGTGGGCCACGCCCCCTTTCACATGAGGAGCGCACGTATGTGATGTCACAAGCCTCGAGTCACGGGGCCAATGAGAAACGCGGCGGCCTGAAGGTGGAGTTGACTGAGCTCCTCCCCCAGGAGCTCCCCGCCCCGTCAGCCTGGCGCTCCAGGCGCCTCTAAAGCCAGGTTGGGTAGGTCAGGGAGGTGACCGCTCGCGCTGTGCTATACCCTAGCCTGGGAGCAGCGTTACCAGTTGAGAGAGTTATGTTCGTATTTCCAACTATAATATATACTTGTTTATTTTTCCTTTTACTTCTGACAGTTTTTATTGAACATATTTTAATGTTTATGCAAATTCTAGATTATTATATCTTCCTTCTGGATTTGCTCTTTTTACCATTATGAATGTACGTACTTGTCTCTAATAATTCTATTTGCCTTAAACTCTAGCCTCATCTGATGTTAGTACAGCTATGCCATGGTTTTGTGTGTGTGTGTTGTTATTTAGTGTTTTTATGTCTTTTTCCATTATTATGTCTTCAAATTCTATGTGTCCTTATAGTTACAGCATGTCTTTTGTAAACAGTATATTATTGGGTCTTGTTTTTAAATTTAGCCTGACAATATTTATTCTTGAATTGGAACTTTTAGTCCATCATTGTTACCAATAGATTTGACCAAATTGCTCTATATTATCTTTTCTCTCTTTCCTCACCTACTTTTGGATATGTCAAGTTTCTTTCTTAATTATTCCACTCTTTCCCATTTGTTAACTGATTAGATATAATTTCTGTACTAGTCTTTTAATGATTACCATAGAGATTAAAACATGCCTGTTTGCCTTTTTTTATTTAGGTAAAATTTACATACACAGAAATACATAAGTCTTAAGTATAATTCAATGAGAGTTGGCAAGTATATATACAGCTATGCAACCATTATCCCAGTCAACATATGTAACCTTACCACTATCCCAGAAGAATGTTCCCTCAATCTCTTCCATACAATTTCTGCTATCTATAGGCAATTACTGTTCTGATTTCTAGCACTATATTAGTGTAGCCTGTTTTGTACTTCATATAAAAATTAAATCATGCAGTGTGCACTCTTTCGTGTTGGGCTCTTTTGCTCAGAATAATGTGTTTGAGATTTAAAACATTGGTAGTTCACATATTGGTAGTTCAATAGTTTTTACTGCTGAGTAATAGTCCTTATATAAACATAGCACAGTTTGTCCTATTGATAGACATTTGAGTTCTTTCTGGTTTGGGGTTATTAGGAACAAAGCCGCTGTAAACTTACTTGTACAAGTTTGTTTTTTAAGATTTTATTGGGGAATTGGGGGAGGGCAATAGCGTTGGGGAATCGGGGAAGGGGAACAGACAAGTTGCTGTCCGTTTGTTCTTCAGTCTAGTTGTAGAGGATGTTGCTTCACTGGCCCATGTTGGTATTATCATTGCACTCTTCCTGGGTGAGGCAGATCGGTTGCCGGCCTCTGGATGGCCGCTCACAGTGGCTCTTGGCAGCTCACATCGGCTGCTGGCGGCTCACGCTGGCTGCCGGCCACACACGGTAGCTATGGCAACCCACTGCAGCAGGGGCTGTAGCCTACACCATCGCTGGTGAATCACAGGAGCCCAGCTTCAGGTCGAGATGCTGTTCACCATCTTAGCTGTAGAGGGCAGTGTCATTGGCCTTCATGTGGGATCCGAACCTGGGTCCTGCTGCTCAGAGCTGGCGTCCAAAGCCAGCTCTTAACCAACGCGCCACTCGGCCGGCCCTGTACAAGTATTTTTTTAAATAGAAGTTTTCATTTCTCATGGGACTGGAATTATTGGATGTAGGGTAGGTAGATGTTTAATTTGATAAGAACTTGCCAAAGAGTTTTCCAAAATGGTTGTATCATTTTACATTCCTAACAGCCATGCATGAGTTCTGATTGCTTCACATTTTCACCAATGTTAATTTTAACCAATCTATGGATATGATGTGATATCTCATTATGGTTTCAATTATATTATCCAGAAGGTTAGTGATGTTGAGCACTTTTTTATGTGCTTATTGACCATTCATATAACTTCATTTGTGAAATGTCTACTCAAGTTTTTTTCCCACTTAAGTTGTTTAAATTTTTATTATTGTGTTGTCAGGGTTATTTATGCACTCTGAATATAAGTCCTTTATCAGATATATGTATTGCAAGTATTTCTTCCAGTCTGTGGCTGGTCTCTTCATAGTCTTAATGGAGTCTCTTGATAAGCAGAATTTTTTTATTGTTTTTTTTTTAGCTGAGCCATCCTGCTGCCTGTTGGCAGCTCAGTGGCAGCTCAGCTCAGGTCAGGCATCGAACTGCTGTTGCTCAGAGCTCACACTCTTGAGTGAGCTCTTAACCAACTGAGCCACTCAGCCGGCCCTTGATAAGCAGAAGTTTTTAATTTTAATGAAGTTTAAGTTATTGACTTTTTTCTTTTATAGTTTTTTTCATCCTAAGAAATCTGCTTACTCAAAGCTGTTAAGATATTCTCCCATATTTTTTCTAGAAGTTTGTCGTTTTATCTTTTATATTTTGGTGTATGGCTTCTCTCTAATTTTAGTAGGGCCGGCCGAGTGGCTCAGCTGGTTAAGAGCTCGCTTGGGAGCGCCAGCTCTGAGCAGCAGGGCTGCAGTTCAGATCCCACATTGCGGGTCAGTGACGTTCACCCTCTGCAGCTAAGATGATGAACAACAGCTCGACCTGGAGCTGGGCTGCTGTGAGTCGCCGGCAATGGCAAAGGCTGCAGCGGGGCTGCAGTGAGCTGCTGCGAGCTACGTGAGTGGCTGGCAGCCAGCGTGAGTGGCCGGCAGCCACTGTGAGCAGCCGACCAATGACTGGCGACCGATTGCCTTACCCAGGAAGAGCACAGTGATCATACCAACATGGGCCATTGAAGCGATGTCCTCCACAGCTAGACTGAAGAACAAAAACAGCAATTTGTCTACCTGTCTGTTCCCCTTCCCCGATTCCCCAATGCTGTTCACCTCCCCCCAATTCCCCAATAAAAAAAATCTTTTTAAAAATTTTTTTAAAAATTAATTTATGTATATAAAGTTAGGTTCATTTTTCTATAAATTTACCCAATTGTTCCAGCACTATCACTGAAAGGGGAAGGTGCATAAGGGAACTTTATGGGGCAGTGGAAATATCTAGGTGGTAGTGACATGGGTTATATATTTATCAGAACTCATCAAACAATACATATAAGCTCTGTCCATTCTCCAGTGGGTAAATTATATATCAATGAAATGAAAAATCTGGGATAACCCAAAACAGACAAAAACTACTGAGGTAAGCTTTGCTGAAAAAGTTTGCTTCATTTAAACTTCTCCAGTTTTTCTCTGACTCAGCCTGCAGCCAAAAAAGCTTTGAAGGAAAAAAACAACAACAGTTTTCTGTTTTTGTTTTCCAGAGACCATTTCCAAAATGACCCTTCTAAATCCCAGGCTTGATGTACAGGTGAGGGACATGAAGTCTTTTTTCCTTCCAACTCATGTATTGTCACACCAGGTCCTAGTGGTATTAAAAGGAGGAGGAAGGATCGCCTGAGTGGCTCAGTTGGTTAAGAGCTCGCTCAAGAGTGTGAGCTCTGAGCAACTGGGTTGCCGGTTCGATTCCCAGCCCGAACTGAGCTGCCAACAGGTGGCAGGATGGCTCAGCTTAAAAAAAAAAAAAAAAAAAGGAGGAAACACTGAAGCTGCTTGAAATGGGTTTGAGGGAATTTGCTATGATCAAGTGAAACCTGATGAGACAAGTAAAGAGTTAATAGGAGCGGGCTTGTGAGCTGGCAGGATGGGACAGGCAAAGAGTTAACAGGAGCAAGCTTGTGGGCTAACAGAAATAAGCTTAAACAGTAACTGCTTGTCTCTGACTCCCCTGGCCAGCACTGCACCTGCAAGCTGACAAGCATCTTACATCCATCATAGGAGAGAACGGAACCATTCCCAATCACAACAGTAACCCCCTGGAAGCTGACATCCATCGTAGATGGGAACAGGACAGTTCCCATGAGAAGGCAATTGTAACAGCAGCCCCCCTGTAAGCTGACAAGCACCCTATATCCTGCATGGAGAAATTTAAAACCCCAGCACTCCTTCTCATCGATGCAACTGTCCCCTATCAGACTCTGCCCTGGCAAACTTCTGCCGGTATCTCTCTCTTACCCCACTGTTTCACAGCTCTCCCTCTCAGTCTGCCCTGGCAAAACTTCTGCCAATTCCAAACAGAACTCTTTCTCCCTCTGTGTTACTGTCAATAAATCTTGTTTACTCTTGTAGACTCTCATAAATTTTTTTACATTCTGCGAACGACCAGGGATTAATTCTATGCCAAGACAAAACCCTCTGCTCCAGACTCCTCTGGCTACTTCCCAGCTGCCTTTGATGTGCACTGGACTAGAAGCTTCCAGCTACTCCTGTGTTGATAATGGTCTCCTCTGGTCAGGGTAAGGAAACAGCAGATGGATTTCATGTGTTGACAGATTTTGTTTAATCTCATTTTTCCCTGAAGTCATCCCATATAGAAATACACTGGGTTGGTGAGTCCATCACTAAAATCCTGGTGGGAGGGGGCCCAGCCGAGTGGCACGTTGGTTAAGAGCTGGCTTGGGACGCCAGAGGGCCCTGGTTCGGATCCCACATATGAGGGCCAGTGACACTGCCCTCTACAGCTAAGATGCTGAACAACAACCTGGAGCTGGGCTTCCGTGAGTTGCCAGCGACGGCGTAGGCTGCAGCCCCTGTGGCAGTGGGTTGCCATGGGCTACCATGTGTAGCCAGCAGCCAGCATGAGCGACCAGCAGCCTCCGTGAGCGGCCGTCCAGAAGCCAGCGACTGATCTGCCTCGCCTGGGAAGAGCGCAATGATGGTGCCAACTTGGGCCAGTGAAGGAACGTCCTCCACAACTAGACTGAAGAGCAAAAGGACAGCAACTTGTCTGTTCCCCTCCCCCCAATTCCCCAGCGCTGCTCCCATTCCCCAATTCCCCAATAAAAACCTTTAAAAAAAATTAAAATCCTGGTGGGAGTAGTTTCCTGATTCCAAGTAAAGATGGTTCTCCTCCAAAGCAGGGTTGACAAACTATTAGAAGTCCCCGTCTGTTTTTGTAAATAAAGTTTTATTGGAACACAGTATACCCATTTGTTTATATATCACCTATGGCTGCCTTCCTGCTACAACTGCAGAGTTAAATAGCTGCAACAAAGACTGTATTGCTTGCAAAGCCTGAAATATTTATTATCTGGCCCTTTACAATAAAGTTTGCTAACCCCTGGTCTAGAGCACCCTGCATGGTCACATAGAGAGAGTGACTGGAGGCCTCTGCCCTGTCATTCAAAGTGACAACAGCATCAGAGGTGGGGGCTGGCCACAGCCTCAAGAAAAATGTGTCGGAGAGGGCAGTCCATCAAGAGAGAAGAGTATCTCCATGGGATTATTTCTGCTCTTTGACCTTCAGTTATTACTAAGACTAGAATTTAAAGGAATTCGGATCAGGTTAGTTGTTGTAGGGGTTCGAAATGAGTCACCCCAAGATGTGCCACTTTGGCATATGAATTATTTTGAACTGAAGGCAACCAAGACCCTGCAGGCTCATAAGACATTTTTATCTTTCCCTTAAATAATTTAAATTAGGGGCTTTGCCCTTAATAAGAGTTACCACCCAAAATAACGTTTTATGGACTGTCTATATGGCAGGGCAAACTACTAATTACTGAATATCTGCTCTTTTTTTTTTTAAACTTTATTGGGGAACAATGTGTTTTTTTCCAGGACCCATCAGCTCCAAGTCAAGTTGTTGTCCTTTAATCTTAGTTGTGGAGGGCACAGCTCAGCTCCAAGTCCAGTCGCAATTTTCAATCTAGTTGTGGGTGGGTGCAGCTCACTGGCCCATGTGGGAATCAAACTGGCAACCCTGTTGCTCAGAGCTCGCGCTGTCAACCAACTGAGCCATCCAGCCTCCCCACATTTGCTCTTCTTAGCATCCTGTGAATGATCTTCCTTCCCCACTGAAGCCCCAAGATGTTTTACCTCATTCTTAGGTCAGAATGCCACATCTACCTCATTTTCTCATTTCTGATTCTAACTCTCTGGTGTATATAGGGTTCACATATGTATGTATGTAATTAAATTCGGTCATTTTCTCTTGTTAATCTAGTCAGTATCATGTAGATTTAATTATTAAACCAGCAGAAAGAACTTTGAGGATAGAGGAATTTCTTACTTCACCACATAGTGCTGGGATATGCGGGGAAAGATACAGAAGGATTGCTGGAGAGCTGGAAATCCTTGTGGAAAAGACAGGGAAGGCTTGCTAATGAGTTCAGGAGCTGCAGGGGGGCAAGTAAGTACCTAGCCAATCCAGAGAAGCAGAGATCATGGCTTCCAGCAGATATCTCATATCTGATGCTCATATCTATAGGTTGGGGGCCAGAAACTTCCTATAGAAATCCTAGCACAATTTTGCAGAGGAGGGTAATCATTACAACATGTTTCAAGAGCGAACAACAACAAAAATTAAAAGATACCAATAGACAATCTCTTACATTTTAAGAATGGGTACACACACACACACACACACACACACACACTCTAACCCTCTTAAGTTTTAAGTATACATATATGTGTATGTGTGTGTATAAAATCTTTACATATAAAATCTTTACATACAAAATCTTTTAAGGTCTCCTTCCAGTTATGAAGTTGTATGATTTTAAGGCAATATGTGACTGATTTGGGACTGTGTTCCATAAAATTTTCAAATAACAAATAAGCTCCAGATTGTGTCTTTTTTAAAGGGGATAAGGGAGAGGGGCAGGACAAAGAGAAGAGGAAGGGAGAGAAACAGGGATACAAAGGAAGATGTGGCGTTAGAAGCTAACATCCATAATAAGTCACAAATATGAAAAGAAGACAGTAAGGAGGGCAGGCAGGTTCATGAGGCATCACCTCCAGCCCCTGGCCTCTCAGAGATGTTATTCAAGTTCTTCCAAAGCTGTGTTGCAGACCAAAACGTGGTGCGTGATCTGTAGGCAGATAAATGTGGTCAGTGGGGCAAGTTCACTACAAGATCATGGATGGTCACCTTTATTAGCCCAGGAAAAGCTGTCTTCATGCAACAGGAGCAAAGGAGCAACTGCTAAATGGAGGTAGCTTATTTACCTGAAACAAGTATGTTCAGTTTGCATGATGCAGCCCAAGAAGTGAAAACATTACCCCAAAGGTAGCACCTGGAGGACTCTTGGACAACAGTAAACAAATTCTGGTCCTTCCAGTTGCCATTGATAACCCCTGAAAGTATCGTTTCTACTGTAATGTGAGTGGGTTGGAGAGAGCCTGTTTTTCAAAGCTTACAGGAAAAGAAAGAAAGAAATGGATAACTGAGTGGTTTTAGTAAAAGATAGTCCCAAACTTTAACACATGCTCCCTGCCCATCAACACTTGCCCTTGCTGTCCCTCCTTCAGTAGGGAAGAGTGTCCACTCTTGTGTCCAAGAGGGTCAAAGCACCCAGTGCCTTTCTTTCAGAGAGGCTGGTGGTATGTGAGCAGAGTGGGAAGAAAACTGTCAACATTTTTTTGCATGTGTGTGACAAAACTATTCATTTTCCCCATGCACCCTTAATACTTGAATACTTATTACTATAGATTGTTTGGCATGTGATTCTAAAGCAGCTGTGAATGAGGTAATCAAAGTCAATTCTCTTCTCTACTTTGAAAATATAGACTCTTAGAAGACTCTGATAACTAGTTACATTTACAAACAATCCCTATCACAGTTTCCTAAGCACAGTCTCTGCATAAAAGATGCTGACTATGTAAAATTCTCCAGAGGTTTTGCTTTGTTTCCCAACTGGAAACCCTGGACCATTAATGTAATTCGCATCTGCCGGAGGCTCCCATATCAACAATGGAAAATCCAGATAAACAGAATTCCCTGTAGTCCTGGGCAGGGCTTGCAACCAACTCTCCACTAACTAGTTATGTAACCCAGGTTAAATGACTTAACCACTCTGATCCTTGGTGGCTTATCTGGCCATTGGATATCGCTTACCTCATGGAATTGTGAGGATAGAATGATGTGGTACAATTTCAAAGCACCCTGGTAGGTGTGAATTATCCAAAGCCACTGGGCATTAACTACTTCTGAAATTTCCCTACTGCCACTAGGGGGCAGAATTAGCCTAGGATTTAAGAACCAGCATTCAATTCCCCCAAGATTCAACTTTGAATTTTCAAAGCAGTTTTGCAAACTGTGGATGGTGGTGGCTGAGCTGTATTATGGCTTTTGTGGTCCCTATGCATGTTTACATTAATGGACCACTTTGTCCATTAAAAAAATATTAAAAATTGTTATTTTACAATAGTCTTGATATAAAGACAATAGAATCCAGGCCTGGTTCATTATTATAATTATATTAATTTCTTCTTATTTGAAATAAATTAAAACAGTGCTGTGTGACGCTAAGAATATTATGATCTCTAGCATTTTTCCTACTGTGCCTATTGGTCAAGTTGGTCCTGGGTGGTGATGGGGAGGGTATGCCATCACCCCTGATGCAATGAGAGAAGTTTGGGCTTTGGAAGTGTCTGAGCCTTACCTTAGCTGGGCCTCTTATACGTGGTATGTATTAGTCTACTAGGGCTGCCATAACAAAATACCACAGACTGGGTGGCTTAAACAACATAAATTAATTTTCTCACAGTTCCGGAGGCCAGAAGTTGAAGATCAGGTTATCAAAAGGATTGGTTTCTTCTGAGGCCCCTTTCTTTGATTTACAGATGGTCGCCTTCTCACTGTGTCCTCACATGGTCTTTCCTCTGTGTGTGTACATCCCTGGTATCTCTGTGTGTGTCCAAATTTCCTCTTCTTATAAGGATATTAGTCAGATTAGAGCCCACCTGAACTATCTCATTTTAAGTTAATCACCTCTTTTAAAACCCTATCTCAAGATACAGTCAGATTCTAAAGGTTCTGGGGATTAGGACTTCAACATATAAGCTTTGGGGCGGGTGGGAGGGGGTGGCACAATTCAGACTATAACCCAGTGTGATCTTGAACAGTTGCTTAATGTCTCAAAGCCTGTTTGTCCATTTGTTAAAATGGGGCAACATCAGTAACTGCTTCATGGGCACAATAGAGTTTTCTTTTAGGGTGATGAAAATCTTCTTAACGAGAAAGAAATGAAGTTGTACATTGTGAATGTACTATCTGCCCCTGAATTGTTCACTTTAAAATGGTTAATTTTAACAACA